CAGAAGAAAGCTTCACACCCACATGCAAGCTCGTAAATATTTCATTCCGTTTTTAGACACGTGTTGGTAACTAACTGTAAGTTTGTTTTGGATTGGGAAACCATAATGGACTGACTGGTTAATGCTGATCTGGCGATGATCTTGTCTTGGCGAATCTGCCTAAGTTGTGTTGAAATGTTGGCAAGTCCTCAGGGTTTCCCTTACAAAATGGACAAGCAATTAAATATTACCTCTGCGGCATCAGTGCCATAGATTGTAGCTGAGTGACCCAATTTGTGCAGAACATTGCTTCTAATGAACTGTGACATGCTTTAAAATATTAAAGACTCTTTTTAAAAAAAACTCCTATGAGACGTCGTCTCGTTAGTTTGAGAGATTCAACAGAATCTGCTGAACTCTCAGAGGAGTGTGAAAGAAAGTGGCTTCGTCCTTGTAATTGCAGAAGCACGAATCTCCCTTTAGCGGGTCACCGTGTCCAGTCTTGATGTTTGTTCTGGACATTGACAGATCGATTGATTTTTATTTCAGCATTTTTTTTTCAAAAACCAGCTGTCCATTCGGGAGTGCATGACTTTGTTGCGTCACAAAATACACAGTCAATTCATTTTATAGTATATTCCGTGAAACATTTGGAGCGTCTCAACTACGTGATAAAGCTCTATATCAAATACAAGGGTTATTATTATTATTATCTAAGCTACTGTGGAGGTCGATGAATAGGATTTTGAAAAGGGTGGGAAAAGGTGTAATAAATCTTAAACCAATTTTGTTTTTGTTTTCCTCCAAAACTTAACTTCTGGAATTAAACTCCTGCCTCAATCCCTCCACCTTACTCCCTCTTTATCTTTAAATCCTATCTGAAGACGAACCTTTCCAATCTGGTCACCTCCCTCTTCTCCGTTGCATGGCTTCCAACCCCCGCCACTGTTTAGCTCTCAGAGACACTATTCATGCTGTATAAATGCAAGTTGTTGTTAATGGGTGATGCAGTTTTAAAATTTGTCTTTGGCTGTTAGATAGCTTTAGGGAAAGAGCTGATGTTTAGAATATCTGAGTTCTGATGATGTTGCTGATGATGTCTGAGACTGCCTTGGTCTGGAGTGTATTGCACGGGTTCATAGAATCATAGAATTATACAGCATAGAAGGAGGCCATTTGGCCCATCATGTCTGTTCCACTTGACGGTGGTGGTAAAGTAATGTTTGCAGCCATTGGGAAGATCAATAGGATCTCCAGTGATGGCTTCATTGCTGGTTTGGATGTACTAATAGCAAGTTGCTGAGCAATGCACAGAGATGTCGCTCAGCAGCACCATACCCTATTCCATGCTGCTCTGGCAGCAGAATCCTTTTCTTTTTAATCAATGATTTAGTTGTAGACTGTGTACAATCTTCCCATTACTGCAGATAAGCACGACTTGCAGATCTTCCATCTCTCTTATCAGTCCCCTTTACTCTCGTCTGTAGAGGCAATCTTTAATGAACCTGGAAGCAGAATACAGATACAAGCTAAAATTAGATACAAGATGCTTTACAGCGTTAGCTTAATGGTGACGAGATGAGTTGCTTACTATTCTTAAAAAAAAGGTACCATTTGTTGGACAATACTTAACCCACACCCCCCTCTCACACATACACACAGACTCATACACACACATTCCTTGCACCCGTTACTGTCTGATAAAGTTTTACTACTTTTAAAATGAAACTCTTTTTAACTCTCCCCACTGTATTGTCAAGAAAAACAAAGAGTAGATAATCTTTCAAAATCACATCCGGTGCTAAGAAAATGTCAACTCTCGCCAAAGCCTTAATGGGGTCTATTATACCCTGTGTGCATTATGCACTGTGTTAAGTGAACAGAGAGGCTTAAAGGTGGCCTCAATTGTGTAATTAACCAGCGATGAAAATGATTTATTAATTATATAATTCATAACCGATCCTTTATTCCTAATTAAGGGCAATTATAATTTCCTCTGTGCACATGCATTTACACATGGCGTATAATATATCTCAGTAAATATAATATATCTCGGCAAATCTTATGTGCATTGTACTGAAACATACAGATTGGGAAGCTCCCGTTTAATCCTTGATTCATGTTGAATTAACCAATCTCCCCAGTACCCTGTCGTTGGATGCTGCAGGGAAAGGTGGGGGAGGGAATGTTTAGCCTGGAGTTCCTTAAGATACCTCTTCTAAGAGTATTTTTCACGAGGGTTCGCACTGTAAGTGTTGGTGAGTTTATTTGACTACAGGGAATATCACAACCAACCCCATCCTGTCACCATATGACATCCACTGACGCCTAGCAGGGTTTACTGAATACAGATCTGGGAAAGGAACGCATTGCTGTAGTCATTTATTTTTTGTTAAGAAGCCGACTGCACACTCGAGAGCATTTGAAATGCTCATTCTGAAAGATCGACTGGAAGTTGATTTGGTTGTTTTGTGCTGATTTGCTCTTTTGATTTAAATGCTCCTTCAAACCTTAATTTCCTTAAATAAAACACTTTTTCTTTCTCTCTCACACACACATAAACACACACACACATATATATATATATAATATATATATACAAACGCACACACACACAGAGCAGTATGTATTTTGGGCCAATAAATATTCATAAAGACTTCACGGCTTCAATGATTTACTTGTATCCAAGCACAGGCTGATTTGTACTGTATTCTGGTATTTATATAAGTTTTAGCTTTCTATTTAGTTTCAACTCCAATTGAAGGAATTCATGAAATCGACAAAGAGGAATCTTTACAAAAATTAACTTTACGGGAGATTTTGTTGCCGTCTTCGAATCGAACACAAAAGTCGTTGTTGCTAGTGTGGGTTTCAGTTTGTACAAACTTTCCGGGGAGCTTCTGTAGGTCATCAAAACGAAGCTGCTTTGAAATCTCGGAAGAGATTCTTTAAACATCTTCGTTTAATATCTTAATAGAGCCGCAGAGTGATGGATGGGTTGCATTTACAAAGAGAAAACAGCATGTGTTAAGGTGCATTGTACAGCCCATTGCTGTAAGCAGTCTCGCTCTCAGGAAGGGCAATTCTGTGTTGACATTAGACCTTCACTTGTCTCCATTTAATGGACAGTGACCGGTTCTGGGTGACCACTCACAAGGCCAGCAGGCATTTTTTAAGCCACCTGACAGTATGATGAATGGTCAGTGTTGCCAACCTCTTTGACATTCCCTTGCAGATTAAGTTGCTTTGTGGGAAGGGTAATTAGCCTGTCCTTTATTGTTTTCTGTGGGATAAGAATATTTTGGCATCTTGTTTTATTGCCACTAATTTTGATTGTGGAATTTGCGTGCTGCGTTTTTTTAAAAAATACATCTTTTTTTGAGAATCCAATGTCCGGAGTTAAGAGGAGGAGAAAAAGTGATTTCTGGAGAAATGTCTAGTAAGCTGTTTCGGGAGGGAAGGTAAATGGCTTCCCTCCGACCTAAAAGTAGCCAAACACTGACCTCTATTTGCCACGATAAATCCTCTGAGCTTCACTGAGCAGAGAGAGAGAGGTGCATGTAAGAGGCACCTCAGGCAGTTGGACACAAAATAAGGTGGCCGTGTGGCTTGTGTAGAGAAAGCCCATTTTTCCCCTTTCCGATGTGTATATTATCTTGAACAAGCCCCTGTGTGCAAACTTGCCTATGCCTGTGATGTTTTAATGCAGTGGGTGTAGATTTTCATATAGGTTGGGGGGGTGTTGAGAGGAGCTGGTTGGTATAAGTGGAGCAGCTTTGCAAACGTGACATATATCAAGACAATTCAGTTGCTGACCTCTTTCCCCCCTCCCCCTCCCCCTCCCCAGCCCATTGGCCTCAACACAAACTCACTTCGAAATATCCCTGGGGTCAGTGTTGGGTGGCCTGGATACCAGAACTGGAATTTTTTAAGATGAAACCTTGCTTACACTTAATACCTTCTAGGTTTAGGTTTTTTATCCACTTTTGCATTTTTTTAAAAAAAAACTCCCAAGTGATAGAACAGACAAACCACACAAGAGGGGCAGTGAGATCATGATGGCGGGGGTAGGGGGGGTGGGGGCGCGGGGGGGTGCAGAGGGATGGGGAAAAGAGACGAGGGAGTAATACACTGAGCAAAACTAATTGTCATGTGGCCTGACTGAAACAGTCGAGAGAGAGAGAAGTGAACTAAACAAACAAAAGCCGGGGGCGGGGAGGGTAAACTTCTTCTCTCCCAAGAGTGGGGGCGGGAGAGGGTTTAAACTCGCCAAAAAAATAAATATTGGGGGGTGGGGGCTGGGGTGAACAGCAGGGAGCGTGCCAAATGCAGAAGGGTGCCATAAAATGTCATTGGCACTGTAGGGGATTGCTATTAAATGCCAGTGTCACTGTACAATTACAGAAGAGATGAGATGCAAATGATTACAGAAAAGAGCAAAGAAATATCTGAATAAGTGGAGGATTTATACTCCGCTTTCTTTACATTAAATGATGGATAACTTATTGGATTTACTTCCCCACGCCCAAAGCTTTGGTCATCAAAGTAAGGAAATCAAATTATAACAAAAAACATTACTTTGCTGTGATGTGATTTTTTGTGGACTACAGTTCCACTTTTTCAAACAATATAATTTTTTTAACCCTATAGAAATACCCCCCAAAATTTGTGTAGCTTGATTTGCTTACTTTGACATTTGTTTGCTGATATCTGGCATTTAGTTTAGCCGCTGCTTAAAAAATATTCCCAGCCTGAACTGGTGGCCAACTTAATTCCTTCCAACCCATCCCACTCAACAGGACTTTTGGTTTCAGCAAACAAGGTGGGAAAACATGCTGGAGAAAGAGCTACGATAACCACAGGAGAAAACAAATGACCGAGTGCTTACAGTACAATACAAAATTACATTTGTATAGCGTCTTTCACGTCGGGAGGATGTCCCAAGTTTAGTTGTAAAGTGATTCACACACGCTGCTTTTCGGGTATTTTCTTCACAAACTCTTCTCTTTTGCTTCTTTTAGATCCTCGACGGAAATACCACATGAGGTTGCTTGCGTACAATTATATGGGTGAAGGGTACCAGGCAGATCAGACTGTGAGCACCCCTGGATGTGTGTGTAAGTGCGGCACCTTTAACGTTCCAACCTACGAACATGCAATCAGTGGGTTAGTTGCCTTCCAACAGAAACTGGCGATGGTGGGAGTACGCTCTTGCAATTTATTTTAAATGCACCTATCCAACATGTTTTCCTTTCACCTCTTTCACTCTTCCTTCCTCCTCCGCTGCCCTCCCCCCATCCCCATCCCTAAATTCTTAATCCAGATGACAAAATGCTGAATTCAAAAGTCAAGTCATTAGGAGGGTTGGTAAACAAAGTTTATCTGTCAATCACGGCTAAAGCTGCTAGTTAGTTGTTTTAGAGTCACCCGTTCCCATTAATCACTGAGATTTCCAGGAAGTTTGAGTCTCCTCTTGTTTGTTTTGTTTTATAAATTATTTTCGGCAGGCCCTGTTTTTTTTCCAAAAAAACACTTGAGGAATTCACACACCAGCAGCAGGTAAAATGGTTTGCGTTGGGTGAACAAAACTAATTCGGAAAATACAGTAGGTGGGAATTGTGTCCCGGAAAAAAGCTTAGAAAAGCACAGCTTCTGACCACAGAACAACAAATTCAAGCCCTTCACAGCGAGGGTTGTTGAAAAGCACAGAGCAATCCAGCAAATCAATACCTTGGGGAATGTTTCCCCTTTAACAATTTAAACCAGTCTCTTGCCCTTTGTGTGCATTTCCGTTCAAGGCACATTTTTACCTTGCAATTTCTGCCAACCAATTTGGCCGCTTAAGTTTTCTTTAGTTTCTTTTATCCTTTTTTTAATCCCAGCCCTCAAAAGCATCTTTACATGTATTGGTTCTACCATAGACATACTTATTTGACTGCACTTTCGGTCATCTTTCCTCTCCCCAGCTCCTTTTGGTTCCCACCTCCAGCTTAAGTGCCCAGCTTGTGTCGGGGACTTTGAAACATCCTCCCAACTTGAAAGATGCTATATAAATGTAAATTGAACTGTGCGTCGATGGATAATACACCAATGCTACACTGTATATACTTTTTTTTCTTTTAAAGCATCTTAACGGCATGTACTGGAGTGGATAAAAACAACAACAAAATGTTTTCAAATTTCAATGTTCTAACAGGTGCATCACCTGATATGATTCATATCTACATAACCTGTGTGTGTGTTTGTAATCAAATCCACCTTGTAATTCTATACTTTGTGGTCCGAGAGCTGCAAGACACCTTATCCCTCAAGCGTAGGTTTTGTGTCAGGCTGGCTTTCTGCCGAAGCCACTTTACTTCAATTAATGCACTAGTAATAAGAATACGATTTAAAAGAAAAAAAAAGAGGTTTTTACTAGGTTTCTCCTGTAACTCCCTCCCTCTACCCCTTTGTCCCACCCCTTCCCTATCTCCCAGTGTCCTGGCCAAGAATCCCCCTGGTAATATTGTGGTCACCCACTACATGGCTGTCTGTTGGACCTTGCACTGCATATATTGGCTGCCGCCTTTGCCCACAAAAGTATCCGCAGTTGCACCACCTTCCAGCATATCCCATGAGATGCTTTGAGGTGTCTGGACAACATGATAAGCCACCATGTCAAAAACGAGGATTTTGATTATTATCTGACTTAGGTCCTGCCTTAAAACCGACCTCTTTGCCTGAGATCTACACTCACCTCTCCCTTGCTCGGCCAGCATTCGACCCTACCTTTGTGAAGCTCTCTGAGACATTATTCTACACGCAGGGCGCTAGATGAAATGCAAGTTGTTGTTTAAATACATATATTTTTAAGCCTCAAACGATTACAATGGCACTTTTTTGATTGACAGCTGTTCGAGACCGCATGGTTCCTCCCCCACCTCCGCCTCATCACCTGTACGCAAAAACCAACAGTTCGTCTGCCATCTTCCTGCACTGGGGGAAGCCCGCCTTCACCGCCGCTCCAGTCATCAACTACACTGTCCGCTGCAACCCGGTGGGGCTGCAGAACGCATCACTGGTCATGTACCTTCAGACGTAAGTCCAGTGCCTGCGTTTGCAAATTCAGCTGTTGCTTGTGACACCGAAGCCAACAACTGCTGTTATCAATCGTGACTTTTTCCCTCCGTTCAGGGCGCTCCGGCCTGCTCCACGTCCCCCGCACACCTGGCCATCCCGACCCCACCATCGGCGGTCGGGCCTTCAGCCTCTCTGCCTCCACCCTTTGGAACTCCATCCCACGATCGCTTCGCCTCGCTCCCTCCCCTCCCATGCCTCCTTCAAGGCCCGTCTCAAGACCCTCCTGTCGACCGACCGGGCCTTCGGTCACCCTCCTACCCTACCCTCCCTGCTCTTCACTCCTGGATACCAACCCCCCAGCTCAGCTCAAAATCCAGCGCCTTGTTGTTGTTGTTGCTGTGAAATTAATGCTATTAAATTGTTAATTTCCTCTTTCCCCCCCAAAAAAAAAAATTAATAGGTCTGAAACGCACCTGCTTGTCCGAGGTCTGCAACCATTGACTAAGTACGAGTTTGCGGTCCGTCTCCACGCAGACCAGCTCTCCAGCCCCTGGAGTCCGGTGGTTTATCAGACGACTCTGCCAGAAGGTGAGGACAGCGTCGCTCTCGCGCTCATTTGTACACTGTATTAAAGGCTTTCGAACCCCAAGGCACTGAGATTCCCCATTTATTTGTGGGTAATGACCAAACAGGTCAGCCGCAGGGAGGGAGAGAAGGGGGGAATCCCCGAAGCCAGGGGCCCTCCAGGAGGTTTCAGGCTAGAATTTGGGCTGTTCTCATTGATGGTTTCATCCCACAGCCCCAGTCAGCCCTCCGGCAGGAGTGAAGGTCACTCTGATAGAAAAGGAAACGGCTCTGGTTTCTTGGAAACCTCCAGAGGACACCACCACAGCCATCACTCGCTATACCATCCTTTACGCTTCCAGAAAGGCCTGGATTGCGGGTGAATGGGAAGTGCTACACAGGGAAGGTGAGGGTCGCTCAATAATCTTTTTGCATGTTTATAAGGGTCTCATTGTTTTCTGGAATGTACTCTTTGACCAGGGGTGCTTTGTCATTTCCGTGCAGGCCAGACTCCCTTGTAAGCTTTCTCTCCGAACACATAAGTATCTGGCCAGCTCCCAACCTACACGGTTCTCATGCCAGTGATCGTGGCAATAACACGGGAACAGTGCGATGTGGCAAAATCGTCCCCTTAGTTCGCCCACTGTGTGTCACTGTACACTGGATTCCTCTGTCTTTTTTAAAATAAGGTTTAACATCAACCTGCACATTTATCGTTAGACAACACCCAGGCTTCTTCCAGTATTGCTCTTGGCACAGCAGTTAGGAGAGTGTTTCGGGGAACTTCTGTTGTACGATATCTAGTTATGGAACTTCTGTATGTCAGTGTACTGTGCTTCTACCCACTGCAGATCAGTCGGGTACAGTGACTGACTTGTACAAAGAGCTTGGTTTGACTCGCAGCATGTAGAAATGAGTAAAGTATTGCCATTTCCCAGCACCAGCATCCTTCACAATGATGACCACACAAAAAGAAAAATCAAATTATAATTTAAAAATAGAACCTGGATTGAATAGACAGTTGATTGAATCTAAATGGGATTTTAAAGCCATTCCCCTGATTCCCCTTCAATTTACGAAAGATCAGTTCTTTTTTTACTATGGTCTTTGGAGGCAATATTTTGGTCTGTCTTCTAACCCTGTTAAACATTCAGAGAGGTTCAACTAAAATAACAATTGCAATCATTTGCAGGTACAAGTTAAAGCCAATGATCATTGCAGGAAGTGTTTTTTTAATGTGTGGTGAGAATGTATCTTAGTGCTGCAATGTGTATTACGAATGGCGTTTCTGAACCTGCTGGTTTTATTATACACTGCTTATCAGAAGGAAAACCTAATTGATTACAGATAGCACTGTAAGCGATGTGAAGCATCCTCGCTTTGTTCTGCACCACCTCTGAGAGGGTTAGAAGTTAGGAGGATTGTAACCCCGGTGTGCTTAGGTCCCCAGTAAATCATGCCCAGGACAGATCCTTTTAATGCTGCCAATCAGACGAAGGCTGTCTGTGGACGTCTGATGTTGAAACTTGACCTCTTTCTTAAGGGACGTGGAATGCCGCCTCCACTTTGGTTCTACTTTGCGAACCCGACCCTCGTTGAAACCAGAAAGTTTTTCTTCTCTTTTTCTTCCCATGTATATGTTACACTCGGCTGTCTGAAAGTGATGGATCGTAACAAAGTCAAATGGAGACGGTGGCACAGTGTAGAATTCCCCTTGTTGCTGTTTTATAATTAATAGATCTGAAAAAGATCAGACCCCAGTGTTTGTTCCATGACTGAAACACAATAGCAACAGCCTCGTCATCCGTCCCTCGAACTACAAACGTGTTTTTTTCCAAGGTCATCGGAACATTGGGATTCTGTGTCAGAAGCTGACCACATTCCTGCACGCTTGGATTTTATAATATAAAAATCCCGAGTTTTTTTTTGGTTGGTTAAAGTAGGGTTGTTTTGCCATTCGTGTTATCCGTCTGTGATTGATGTTTTTGTGACCCAGTATGTTAGTGGCCAGTGCATGGATATGCTCATTTTGTCAGTCCGTGCTGACTGACTCTGCTGATAAGCATCAATCAAGCAGAGGAAAGCTTCCAGCAATTATGAAGGTGATTTGCCCAATATTGCTGTGTGACCAGAGAAGTTTACTGTGGCTTTGTAATGAATATTCCATCATGTTTAATACAGCGCTGCTATTGACTCTCCTCTTATTTGCTGGAATCTTTGTTGTTACCATTAGTGGCTGTACAGTGTCCTAATTACTGAGTTGCATATGGTCGAGCTTGTTCCAGTGCCCTTTTTTGTTTGTTAGCCAGGACACCAGGAGAAACTCCCTTCTCTTTTCGAATAGTGACCATGGGATCTTTTAACACCTTCTGACTCAATATGCCCAGTATCGGAGGGCTTCTGCCTCCCTTGGTCTTCAATAATGCATGATCCATTGATTCCATACGTTTGCTTGTAGGAACGATAACCATGGCTTTGTTGGAGAACCTTCTCCCTGGAAACATCTACCTCATTAAGATATCCGCAACCAATGAAGTAGGAGAAGGGCCCTTTTCGAGCACTCTGGAACTGGCCATTCCTCCGAAGGAAACCGTATACCTCAGCCAGGGACCTAAGTGGTCTGACTCTCACAGCAGTGGAGATGCCAAAGGTCAGTAAACAGTCAGCTGCCATTAAGCCAGTGCTGCAACTATGTGGCTAATGTAATCCTTTAGGCCGTTCCTGACAATACCTCTCTTAATGGCAGCCTCAACGGGCCTACTTGTCAGCGAAATAGTACAAGTAAAGCAATCAAAAACCTGCAAAGAAGGAATCTAAAACCAGACAACTTAAAGCCCGTCAATGATGTCTGTCAGCCAGTTCTCCCAACTGGATACTAATTAAGTCCTAATTATATCACGGCTAAAATAGTAAAATGCAGATCTATACTATTAGTTGTGCTTTAATATTTTTAGGTGGGAGATAATGTTTGCACAGGATCTGGTTTGAGTGGTCCTATGTAAGATATGTGGTTGATTAATAAGGAGGGGAAGGGTAGAGGAGAGGAAAATCTTCCACTGATAGTTTGGAGATGCAGTAAAAAGCCCTCATTTTCGAATGTGTTTTACAGCAGTATTTATTCATTCCACATTATTACACTGTATGAAAGGGAACAATTCAACACCCAGCAAGTGCACATCTGCAGCGATAGTGGTGGGGGCGATAGGGAGGAGGGTGAAGAGGAGGAGAGAAAGGAAAGTCACATTACTATTACCAGCTGTGTGTAGTGCAGTGCAGTGTTTGAAAATCCAAAGGATTCACTTTTTGTCAAAACTAAAGTGGGTGATGTGTGAGCTGTGAGTGACCTGATTTTGTCAAACATTCCAAGTGGATTTGCAGGCACCTGTTGTGCTCCGGCCCCCACCTTGTGCTCTGCGGAGACAATAAAATGGATGCTTTTGACTCGTTACCCCAGCATTTAATTTGCTCGTGTGGCTCCAGTGAATTATATATAAATAATTTGTCCTACTCAGGACAAACTAAACCCAGTCGTGTACCAATCTTCACTTCTGTAGTTTTGCACTGTTTCATTGTTTGAATATAGATAAGCTTTTCCCTCTGTAAATCAAAAAATATAACAAAGGTTTAACTTATGTTTCAGAGCAAAATCAGTTGTTTGGGTCATTCTCAAGCCTTTGAGAGCTTCAGATTCTTGTCTCTGCTTTATTTTTGCTTGTGTGAAATCTCTAGGCTCTAAAATTAACAGTAGGGGAGGTATCATAACAACCAAAAGGGAGCACATTGAAGCACTTAGAGTTAATCGTTCTAACTTCCGGTATCATTCTGTTTACACAGCAGCGGATTCCGACGGCTTTTATCACCTGGACCAAAAATCAATGACTGGAATTATTGTTGGAGTTTGCATTGCCCTAGCTTGTATCATCATTTGCATCCTTATCCTTGTTTATAGAAGCAAAGCCAGGTATTGTGTGAACATAGAAGTTAATCACTGTAGGTTTTGGGGGAGGAAGGATTATTGCAAGATAAAATTACTGGTTATTAAATTGTTAGCATAAATTTACAAAATGCATCAGGTCTCATAATGAGAAAGTATTCTTTCCATTAGTCAAAATGNTTTTTTCCAGTAAATGGCTCGCCCTCCCCAACCATTGGGATGACGTTCTTAAAGATTATGTGTGTTAACTGGGATCGAAAACTTTCTAACAATGTTCAGGTGCAGAACAGATTTCTTTTTACCTGTATTCTGTTCAACTAGAAGTACAACCTTGAAGGGAATGGTGTGCTAGTCAAACTTTGTTTATGTGTGACATATTATTAGATGATTTATACGAACATGCTGTGGTTATTGACGGTACCAGCTGCCTCGTTACCATGTGTAACTGTGCAGAATCTAAAATAAATGCCATTCCCTGAGGTTCGAATCTAGTAATACCTTGTACCCACCGACATGCATGAAAGTTTCAGAAAATACCTAGCGATGCAATATATTATATAAATGTGTGTGTCGCGAGCATACTTGGCAATTTCGAGAACGGTATTTTAATGGTGACACTTCTTGTTGCGACTAGAAAATCATCCGCTATCAAGGCTGAGCAACAGGGAAACATCCAGCTGGCACATGTGACCAGACCACTGGTCAATGGAAACCATGTGCAGAAGAGTCAGGGGGCTCAGCAAGAGAATGGAGAGAGCTTGATGCCGATGATGGCTGGGAGTGACTTTTTGGATACCAAGGTAAGTTGGTCTTTTTATATACATAAAAAAAGAAACTTTCCTCGTTTTATAACTAAAATCAAACCCTTCCTCCAATTATTTGAAGCAATCAATACTGCTGTCCCTGTACGATGAGGGTTGGCCGGGGTGGTGGGGGGCGGGAGAGGGAGAGAGAGAATTTACAAGGTGTTTTTTTGGTGGCCCCAATCATGCCATATGGGTGGCTGGAGCAGCCCATCTGCCCGTGGTGTTTTTTTTTAATCTTGATTCTCGCCAATGATTAAATGGATTATGTTTTTCGATTGGACAGGGTGGAACTGACATGATCATCAGGAGCTCTGCCCAAGTCGACGAAAAGCCCAAAAAGTGGTCATTTTTTAGATCTGTAAAGAAATCGTCGAAGCCACCCAAAGAGAAGCAGGTCAGATTCGAGCTCTTTACTAATAAAGGGAGCAACAGATTGGTTAACTACATAGCACAGACATCAGGCCATTCCTGGTCTTTATGCCAACATAGTGCATTTACCAACTAAGTTATAGAAGGGATTCCTTTTTCAGTTCCACTGATGGGTTTTAGTCAACTTGCATGAACTTTCGATGAGAAGGAATTTGTGTTGTACTTTCTAAGACTTTTTTTGTTCCTTAAACGGACCGGACTGTAATTTGAAGTTGTAGCTCGATGTAACGCCTACAAATTGTTGTTTTGATCACAGTCACTGCGAAGAAACGGCCGGGACCTGAGCTCTTACCACCTGACGTCTGCTGTGCTGACCCGTGAGGAATCCGATTGCTCCATGCTCGCCCCCCCCATGTCCCTGCAGGCCGTGTTCAGCGCTGCGGGCGACACCGAGTGCTCCCACAACAGTGAAGGGAGCCATGAAACCGCCGACTCGGGGAGATACTCGCACGACTCCAGGGAGGAAATGGAATTGGCTCACCTCTCGTCTGTCACCTGTACCACACCCAACTTCGAGGGCCCTTTCCTGCCCACCGAGGTGGCTGGCACACCTGTGTCACCCGCCTCAGAGAAAGCCCAACTCCTGCTGATTGTTTCACACACGACGACAACTACCTCAGACCTGCTGGCCTCACCAGTGCGTCCGATGTCTTCTCTAAAAACTGCTGGTGGAAATGACGACAACCAATTTCTAATATAGGCGGCCCGACTGTATTCCGCAGTAATTTATCTGTACAATGGACAATGTGCAGGGAACCAAAGAACACTCGGGAAAGCAAATCTGGGTCTTTTTACACCTCCAGATTCTTAACATGCTTTTGTTTTTATGAATGTTACATTTTTATTTTACCCACCATGAATGTCTGTATTTCAAAAAAAAATGTGAAAAGGACCGCTACATTTCTTTTGATTGTTTTTGAAAGGTATATCACTGGAGCAAGAATAATATTTCAGGTTTTCTACTGAAAAAAGAATCTACCTCAATATTACCTGAATGGTAAACTCCAGTATTTAACAGGTATTGTACTCTCATTACCTTTATATAGCTGTTCCTTCCTTACAGCAATATTTGTTTTGCGAAAAGAAATGTTTGTTGATAACGTTCTGTTGTGTTGTAGGGCTGTAAGGACATTGCCATGAGAGTGTTTGACTAAAGCTCTGTTTACATGTGCAGGTGCCATTCTAAAATTCATACTGGAAGGCAGAGTGGGGCGTCCAAAGATATCTTAATTCCCTCAGACTCTTTATTCAAAAAAAATTGAGGCAGAGGGAAGCCAGTGAAAAAAACCTGAACAGAATATTAAATATCGCAATCGCTGATAAATATTTGAAACCTAATTAAGATCACATTGTAACTATCACGGCCTCTGTTAGTGGACGGAAAAAAAAACGCAAGCAGTGATTGATCAGACCAAAGATGCTTTGGGTGGAGCAGTTTTAAGGAGCTGTTCACACAAATCCATATAGTGCCTTGTCTGTCTACTGAACTATTGAAAGGTTCACCTCTCCTGTTAGCTTGAAAGGCCCAGTGAGTGAGAGCAATGGTACTGTACTCTCTCTGCATGTGCCATTGAAAACAAACTTGCATCTGAACCAATGTAAAATGTGGGTCTGGGGACGTAGAGGCACTGAGTTGAATATCTGCTGGAATGCATAACGTTCAGATTGAACCAGGCCAGGGTTAACTGGAATGATTACCTAAATGCTTCCTGTTATAGAAACTGGAAAATACGATGCAGATGCAGAAATTAGGAACGACATGCCTCCTACAGTGACCCAAATCACACTTGGCCTGGATGGGTTTTGATTTTATGCGTCCCAACAAATAGTACATTTTTGCGCCTATCAGTGAATACGTTGAACATCCACAGGTTCAGGTGTAGGTTAATTCATGCCTATCTCGTACTTCATTATTTTGGGATGATTTGTCATCACATTGGGAAGTTCCTTTGTAATTTGAAAGCCCCAGTACAGTATTAGCCTCTCCTTGGGTACAGTGTCTTGTTGAAGAAACCTTAAATTGCGCAAATCAAGAATGTAAACAAATTGGTTTGAAGTGTTATTCTGAGGAGATTTTGTGTACTTACTCAGTCGTGTGGATTCTCTGCTTGAAGACTTCTGTGCACCCCCGACCACCTCACCCGGTTGTCTGTGCACAAACTATTTTTTTGAACCACAGAATAACCGAGATGTGATGGGATTCCCACTTAATATCACCTTTCATCTCCCTCACATTTCTTTCATTAATAATGAAGTACCTAGATAATGAAGTGCATTTTACTGATGCATTACTTTACATTGCATGACATGTACATGGCAATAATACAATGTACATTGAATAATTCACTTCACAAATGTTCCTGTAGCACTAAACCTTTCAAATTCACTGAGGCCATCTTAAGAATTTTGTTTGCTTTTGAACGGTAGTTTAATCAGAAACCTAAATTAATAATAAGTTGCAAATTCGATTGCGGTTTTCAAATTGAACGGAAGCTACGTTGCTTCAGGTGAATCTTTAAAATACATCCCCAGGTTTTAACAGAATTTTGCAGAGGTGGAATTGTGAATTCTGCTATGGAATATGTATATAATATAATAGAAAACGGCCACCTTTCTTTCTGCACGAGGATTTTATCGGTGCATTGAAAAAGATAACTGAATTCTGCTCCAAATAGCTAACGAATGCCCCCTGCCTGCCTGCCATTACAGAACAAATTCACTTCAGCGTTGCTAATAGGTAACCTCTCGTTACTTGCAATCCAAAGAGTTCCATTGATCGATCGCAATGCAATGCTGGTTGTGTTTTTAGAATTGCTTGTATAAAACAGAGCTTTATGATACCAAAGATTCACAGGGAATAGAAGCTGCTACTCTCATGTGCTCTCGCCTTGCACTTCCTGTTTGATACTACCTCTTTTAAAACCTATTTTAGTGTTATTCTTTTATCTAACCTCAGGGATCAATTTGTTACATTTGAACTGCCGCACCGAAATGTGTTGGCGTACTGACAGGGTATCTTGCTAGAACTTTTGATTGAAATAGTTACTGTGTAGCTTTTAAGAGTTAGAACAGATCACTAGAAATACGTGCCAGTAAATGTTTTGCGATGCCGATTATATCGAAAATTTATTTTAAAACAAGCTTACCAAAGAAAATTATAGTGTATATAAAGTTTGCCTCAGTAGGATATTTGTGGGCCTTGTCATTTTTACCGGTTGAATTCTAATTTTTGTTTAATGATAGTTACTAATCATACAACAGTAGTGACTTGTATGTGTTTGAATAGAAATTGATTGCTTTTCCAATACAATGTGAACATCGGTGTATTCGGAGCATTTGTTTGGGGGAAGAGCCTATATTACAGTGAGATTTTAAAGGGCCTTTGAGTGAATGTGGCTAATCCTCCCTTACTAGCAAAACTGCCTGAAACAATATTGAATGGGTGTCTGAACTTTTTCTGATATTGAAAAAACTGGTTTCAAGCGAGCATTTTTGCCCTATTCAAATGTAAACTTATTCAGCATTTGACTTTATTTGTAGATGAAGTTAAACAATGATGTCTTTGTATCGGCTCAAAGAAAGAAAGATCATTAGTATGAACTACTGAGTACAATTCTGGTTAGCTGCACTCTGCTCTTTATAGCGTAGATCAGAAATTAGAGAAGATAGTCAGTTTAGCACTTGTCTTTCAGATTAGTGTCATCGCATAGGGTTAGGGGTGGTATGCAAAGGTAAATGACATGCGTCCATATCCAAAGATTTACTTTTTCTTGCTGGACATTTTTTAATATTAAACGGGCACTGTGTCTACGCAGTATCTTGAATCCCAGAACCTAAGAACTATGTCACTTTGCACCTTGATGGACAAATTGATAAAAAGAGGATTAAAGAAAAAGAGAATTCTCTTGTCGTTCTAAATGTAAATGTAGTCTGACAATGTGCATTTCTACTCCATGTTGCAATAAGTACTGGTTTAATATCACTGAACGAGCGCAAGAGCATTGTCTTTCACTGACTGACTGATTTAGGAAAACTTCAGATAACTTTATTTGAAAGGGTCTAAATGCCCCCCCCCCCCCCCCCCCCCCGACTAACCCTAAATCCCAATACAAACCAAATCTTTTGCATGAACCAAGGTAAAATACTCCAGCTGTCTTGTACGATTCACTTTAATCTCCAGCTGATTTGATTGAATTCCTGCCACACAACTTGCAGATTCTTCCTCTAATGGTGCCTTGACGGCAATAGACTCATTATCTGTAAAGATTACATTAAAATGCCTACACTCTGATAGCCCCAGACAGAGCGCATGAGAGAAAACGTTTAATAGCTTTTAAGAAAATAGATATATATATATATACATACACACTGTGTGGCAAAATGATTCCGTCTCTCAACTATACGAGTTTCACCAAGTTGTGTGCCGTATTCCTAAATAAAAAGTGCTTTAATATTGAAACCCCCAAATAATGAAAAAACAATGAATTCAGTATTAATATAACTTTATTTTCAAATACAGCTAGAACAGCAGCCCACAAAAACCAAAGAATTTTTTTTTTGGCTTACCTTTGTATATCAGGTGTAGCAGTTTTAGTCCGACGTAACTAGGAAGGGCAGATTTTGTGTCTCCTCGTGAATGTTGTTCGAAATCCCTTTTTTGTTGTTGTTTTGGTGCAGAAGTGTGTCTTCATATCCTAGGTCAAAACCAGCATCTTTTCATCTGTCGATGTCCGCCAGTGTACTTCCCCACTTTTATAATAGTGTTAAAGGGAGCATGTGAATTAAAGGGTGCACCTGCTTGGGGAATATTTCAGGCGAGCTCCATGTCAGAAGCTCTGTGTGGGTAGCTGGAGGAGTGCGTGCCTTTCCCTACTCCATTCACTGCTCCCTGAACATTTTCAAAACTTGCTTTGTGTCTAATTGTATTCACAGTAAGAGAAGCCTTTGAAATCTGACTGCGGTTTCTGTGATTGTGGCAGCTGAAAATGCCTTGTACCACTGACAGAATGGTAAGCTGGGACATTTTATCCTTTGCATAATACCATTTGCAGTGGGAAAAATGTCCCCAAGCATTTCAGTTATCCAGAAAATCTTAAGGAAAATGTCCTGGGCGTCTGATGAAATTTTGCTGGTATTTCATTTTAATTTAGAACCGTTTAGTAAAATATATAAGTAGAAACCACTGCCTCATTTGAATTTGACAAAATACATCTTTTGAAGTATTTGTTGATGCACATTAATCTGGAATTGTGTGTTAAACTGTCTTGACATAGTATTTTAATTTTGATATAATATGTATTAAACTTGTACGGCTGGGTGTCATGTGCTCACACTTGATGCTTTACGGTATCCACACACCTGACTTGTTCAGGTAACTAATGTAGCCATACCGAGAAGTGTTTTGTGTGACTGCTCATGAAGACAGGCCAGAAGAGCGGGAGAGAAAGGTATCTGTGAGCCCGCGAGGGTTTTCTTTTTGCTATTGTTTTTTTTAAAAAATGAGAACGAACAATATTGTGTTAGTTTTTGATTTAGAGAGCGCTGTTAAGGTGTGAACTAAAGGGAAGAAGTGGAGGGTTTGGTCTCTCGTGTTATCTCAGGTGTTCCTGACCTTCCAGCTTCAATTGCCAATTGTCGTGTAAAGACAAGTGTTTGCGATTCTGCGGACTGGACAAGTGGACCTGGATTATATCAAATTTTATTTGTCTCAGGGGATCAGCTCCATTGTGTCCATTCCTGCAAAAGAGCCAACGTTTGCCTTGACTTGTGAATGTACCTCATTTATGTCTTTAACTACTTTTTAACTGTTTTATTGAGAAACTGTGTTCCTCTTCTCCCCACC